TCGAAAGTCTTTACAGGTTCATTGTCAAGGCGACTACCTCTTGACTGGAAGAATCAGATGAGAGTAATGACCAGAACAAAGAAGCACATGAAGAAGAACAGGTTAGCGGACCATCTATGGAGGCTGATGACCCATATTATGGTGGGTGGCTAGACCAACCTCCTCACTTGGATCATGAGAATGACCAAGGATGGGGCACCTGGCAACATACATGATGGATATCGTTAGGAGACAACTATATGCCTCAACAGCATTCGGAGTATCAAGAAACTCCAAACTGGAGCTATGAACCTCCACCATTCCCGCATCTGCAACAACACTCTGATGAACTCCTCGACATGATGAGGACTATGCATCTTGAGCAACACTCCTTCATGACTGCTCAGGATGAGCGATTCTCTCAACTTCAAAGTCAATTTCAAACTCACACCAAAAATTCAATGCATTTTCATCTAGTGTCATGAGAAGGTTCGGTGGGTTTGTTGAAGCAGCAGCCAGCCAACATAGGGCTCTTGCCACTAGATTTAACACCCTAAATAGAGTGTTCTTGGAGTTCATTGAAAGAGCTAATGCCCAATTACCTCCGGAGTATCCCTCTCGAGGGCGTAGCCATCATTTCAGGGGGAAGAGACCTTGAAGATGTCTTGCATACTACATTTTGCATCTCATTATCTGTTCATTTATGTTGTTTTTGTTGAATGGCTTATGTACCTTTGTGTGTTTAATGAACTTTCTTTCTTGACTAAGATAGCAATCTTTATTGTTGTTCTATTTTGTGTGGCTCTATTTATCATTTTGTTTATATGTTCATTAACTACATTGTATGTGAATGTCTGTTACGAGTGTTTGGAACGTGCGTTCTCTTTTACTTTTATACAAATCATTGACAAGTGTTTCTTTCTTTTTGATGCTGTCAAAGGGGGAGAAAGTATCAAGCACCGCAGTAGAAACAAAAACATCACAGGTGAAGACTCAGTATTCACGCAGAAGAGTGTGTATGGATGAAGGCATCAAGCAAGGGGGGGGGGGGATAGCGTGACATATCATACATCCAGGTTCTATTTGTTTTGCCATCATCAAAAAGGGGGAGTATATGAGGGCAAAGCCTCATATATAGATGTGCTCATTTCGATGATGTCAAAAATCAGCTCCATAGAAAAATATATGTTGGACGTTTTCACCATGTCATATTTGCATGTCTTGTATCTCATAATTCAAACTCTCGTCAAAATCATGGTTGTTGCATATAGAGATGGTCAAATATGTGTTTCATATAAGGTTGACTTAATTGGTATTGTTTTCCATACTATAGGTTTCATCAAATGTCTCTTAATGCATGAAAATGAGCATTTTTGCCTATTTCAGGGTTTGGGGTCGACCCAAAACCTGCTCCGGTCGACTCACACAACAAGTCATTTTAATGAATTAGTCTCAAGAGGGCTCGTGTCGACCCTCCGGTCGACTCATACTGTGACCATTTCCATTTGGATAAAATTACATGTTGTGCGTCGATGCATGCCATGCTCCGGTCGACACATTGTCTTGATTTCTACACAATCTTAAATTCGGGTAAGCTCAGGTCGACCCTCTCTACTGCATAGGTGGATCGCTCGCTGTTTTGTGTCAAAATTCTATTATGTCAACTGCTTTTGTGAGTCTGTTTTGTTTGTTATGTCATTTATGGTTTGTATATAAGTTGAGTTGTACTTTCATTTCACAACAACTAAGAAAATAAGAAAAGTAAAATTACGTGTCGATTTGGTTCTCATCATAGCATTTCACAACAACTACACATAATCGTTTTTGTTGTGCATTGTGCATGTTCGAGGTGATAACGTCCAAAGCCGAAGATTGGTTTTATCTGGTTTAGGTTGAGTAATCGACATGTTTTTCTTGAATAAAACCGTTAGGGTTTTGTCCTCCAAGAATCTCAGATTTTGGGGGTATTTGCACGAATCGTTCCATCACATATTCAGCCAAGTGAAGGTAATCGAAGAGCTGGAGGTTCTGTCGGTTTAGTAGCGGTAAACGGAGGATTGTGAGTGGGAGATTCAGGTTCGACACGTGGGTGACTGAAATCAGCCGGGCCATATTTTGAAGACCGAGGGTTGTTCAAAGAGAGTGTTGTAATCGGAGGTTTATTCACCGTGTTCGAAGTACTTGACTTAACTTGAATCAAGGGGCAAGAAGAAATAGATCCTACAACAACAAAGTGTGTTATATTGTTTGATCTCTACTTGCTTCTTGTATAAACATTGACCAACAGGTTATATCTATCTATATACAGGTCTCAATTCTATTGTTAGAATTGAGGGCAGACGTACCCCGAGCGAGGATGGCGGAGGAACCGCCTCAACAAATCGTTGTGTCTTTTTTTTTTTACGTTTATATTGCTGAATTTCTGAGTTTTTTAGTGTAAACGATTGTGTTAATCAAATTATGATTTGAGTTGTGCTGAACTATTTTTAAGCTAATTACAATCATTGATTGTAATAGAAAACTTGAGCACTCAACTCTCAAAACAGAATTCACTTGTAGGGCTCTGCACTCCAAGTGTTTGATAAACTGTGTGAACTAAAAACCTTGTGTGCTTTCTTTTCAAATTGTCTATATTTTAAAGGCATTGGAACTAATCACACCTTATAGTGAACATAATCTAATTGAAGTGTGATTGAAGTAGTGATTCTCATATCTCGTTTATCATATTCCATAGGCTTTACGCATATCCGGTTTTCTAATAACCATTCGTTTTAGACGTGTATATTCCTCGACCTCTTCCGCCTTAAATAATTTAAAAACCAAATTTTGGTAACGCCGACTCTATTTAAAACAAGCGATCTATTCAACCCCATTCTAGATCTGCATCATCATCTAACACACGATGGACCCGTGATCAGCTTGCGTTAATCCCTTTTTTTCTTTTTCTTCTTTTTCTTTTAATTTAGTTTTTTTTTATACTTATATAAATGAATTTGCCCTTTAATTGAAACACAAGTTTTTTAGTTTAATTTAAATATTTATTTTATTACAACCTAACTTAGTTGCTTATCTTATAATCATTTAAAGTTAAAAAAAAGAATAATATCTCTTTAAGGGATAAATAGAATAAGAGTTTTGTAATTACTTTATTAAAAGGAATTTTATCGTACCCTTATTATTATTTCTTTTAAGATCGTTTAATCACCTTATAACTCTTCCATTATAAACCTAAAGAACTTTGTTTGAGTTATGTTACACTCTTGTGCTCGTACACACTTAGCTCTCATTTGTGTTTAATTTGACGTATACTGTGACACCTTGCTTCATGAAATTAGTTATGCTGCATGTCTCACGTATTTTCACAACTGGATCGGATGATCATTGCTTCTCTACACTCTTTGACAAAATGTTCCCACGTCTAAGCGAAGAACCTGCGTATAATTTCATAAGTCGTGCGTATTGCATTTTCATTTGCATCATTTCTCCCGCTTGATACCTGACTTTGCAGGTCGATCAGTTTAGGTCAACCTTATACCTTAGGGTAGATGCCACTTAAGTTTTCAATATTAGACAATCTATAATTCAATTCAATCCTATATTTTCCCACAAAGAGAACTAGGCGTGATTCATCTACGTGGTTGAGATATAATTCTCCTACCCCATAATGCTTGTGAGATGTAGAATCTTTTTCCGCTTGAGAGAGGTATGTGGTATATTCGTCGATAAACATCTAAATTAGAGCCCTTTTCTCAATGCGACGCAAAGACCGTCTTCGATACATTTATGGAGGTTAAGTCGAGTATTCTCCTTAAGATGACGACTCGTCTCTTCTCCTAGAATCAATCAACAAACCTTCTCCCCCTAGAACTTTGATCACAGTTAATGGTTACTCAATCCCTTTAGGGAAACTACGAATACTCTGATTCCATTTCCGTCAGGATACGTAGGCACAAGATGCGATTTCTTGGCGAGTATACTTATAAATAAACCCCTAGGTCTCTTACCCTTAGCAAACAACAATAATACAATAAACAAGAGGTTTCTGTAGAGTACTACATATGCTTAGGATGCTAGCACCTTCCCTAAGTATAACCAACCCCTGAACCTTAGACTCTCTAGTTTTGCATTTGCATTGCATACTTTTGGGTAATTCGATTTTTTTCCTTCCTTTAGACAAATTAAAGATCGATGGTGAATAATGATTTGTGATTCAAGTTAACCAATTGCTTGATATCCGATTCTTACCGCGACAATAGCAACAATAGAGACATTATCATTTCAAGAAGAAATGGAAGAACAATTTCGATAGAGACTGTAATATTAATTCTTAGCATGCAACTTGATAAGTGTAAGATAAATTGTGGAGAAATGATTCTCAGTTGTCATCAACAAGGATTCTCTACAATGATTTGATCCAAGAAACGGCAAGTATTAAAATCTACTTTGTTAAAGAACATAACTTTCGAACCTAATATCAAAACTACTAACATGATGTGTATAGTAGCCAATACACAAGATGACTCCTCGAACTAGCTATGGCATCTAAGCTCTAACAAACTTGGTTGTAGGATTGCCAAAGATAATTGAAAAGAATAAGACGTTAGAATTGATAAATGGTTCCTTTAAAGTTTGCTTATGTGGCTAGACATGAAACAAATAGACATGTGGTGGCTCTAACTAGTAAAAAAAGCAGGCCTTTGTATCACCTTGACGTTAAATCTAAATTTTTCAATCGATCTCTCGAGGAAACTATGTTTGTCCAGAGAAATTAGCGTACAAAATGCATAAATCTAAATATACGAAGGCTAAGAAATTTATATATTAGTAATTCCATGATAAAAGAAAAAACTCAACAGATGAAAAGAAGTAGCATTGTAGATCAATTAAAAACCATTTATTAGAGAGGAATAAATTGTTCATTTTTAACACAAAACAGCACAGATCCAATACAAGTAGAACCCAATACAAAAAGAGACATCATCCATGAACTTGTGTGACTTTCATGACTCAAACCAAACCAATCAGAGGCTAACAAAGGTGGGCTTATAGTCAACTATAACACCTTTATCCAAACAAGGAAGAAGCAAATTCGCATACTCAACATGTGCAGGATGAGCCACATACTCTGCAACGGCTTCCAAACTATCAAAGGTTGATTCAAAGATATGCGTAAAACCTTGTTGCATGTTGTCAACACTTATATCCCTGCCCCTATGATACATAATATGATGATTATTAGTCTCATAGATCCAATCGAAAACGGAAACAGAGATTTTGATCACAAGTTACCAGTGGAATGACTTCATGGTTGGGATGAGATTGACGAGATTGGCAAAGCCCTTGATGAGTTCCTCGATTCGTTCTTGACTGATGTCGTCCTTGAACTTTGTGATGACTATGTGTTTCACTGTTCCAATTGCTTCCGCCATTTTTCTTCTTCCTTTTTTGTCTGAGATCAAATAACTTCTCGATCGCATCTAGGAGATCAAATGAATGTTACTTTAATAAAACAAGAAATAATGTTTTAAAATAGGGCATCTTTTTCAATTTTTAATATAGAAATTAAATGATTCCCTTAAAGCATCGGCAATTGTTCAAAGATAGTAGGTAGGTGCATGTGCAGAAGTGCAATTCGAACATGCACTCATTTGTTAATTTTTTAAAGATGAATTCAAATCATTAGATTATTTAACAAACAAAATATAGAAATTAAGTAACGTATTCTATTGAAAATTCTAAAAAATAATGCTAATTTTTTATAGTACTTAATCAAGATTTTTATATAATATAAACAAATTTTTTATATTTAATAAAATAATTAAATATTTTTTCTTATAACAAAATGTAAAAAAAAGATATGCACTAATTTTATACTGTCAACCAATCATCATCACGTAAAATTTAAATTAATTGTATGATATGACAGATTAATGTATTTTTATTGGATGACAGTATACAATAATTTTACACCGTCAATGCATACTAATTAATTGTGTCAAATGTGAAATGTTGTCTGGTGCCCAGTTTGCCGATGGAGTCCTGGAAATTTTTGTCGGTGAATTGCGTCCCGTTATCAGTGACGAGTGATTCTGGTATGCCGAATCGGGCAAATATGTTTCTCTTATAGAAACGAAGTATATTGTGTGTCGTGATTTTGGCGAGGGTCTCTGCCTCTATCCACTTCGTGAAATAATCAACGCCGCCTATCAGGTACTTGTTCTGCTTCGATCCCATGGTAAACGGTCCGAGGATGTCCATTCCCTATGGCATTTATCACATTTTTAAAATATTCTTTCGCGTCGTGCTGCATGGTGGGCTAGTAGTATCCTGCTCGCAGGGCCTTCCGGGTGAGGGATCTTCCTTTGAGGTGTTGGTGTTGATTCCTTCGTGGATACAACTTGTCCTCAACTAAGACGTTGGAGTAAGCTCTGCGCCTGGTCACATTAGCCTCTTTCTGATCGGGGGGTAGTTCTCCTGTGGCGAGTTAGTTGTATACCGAGGTCATCCAACAATTGCTGTTGCTGATGGCATTTATGTCAAGGGTTGCAGAGGGTTTTCCGATGCTTGGGTGAGAAAGTATCTCTTTGATGACATACTTGTTTCCACCCTTCTTCTTTGTGCTCGCGAATTTCGACAGGATGTCTGCTCGTATGTTGTGCTCGCGGGGGACGTGATTTACCTCCGCGGAATCGAATTTTGTTATTCCCTCCCGAAAGAGAGTTAAATACTCAGATAGATTGTCGTTTTTGGCTTCATATTCTCCCAGTACTTGAGAGGCGACGATTTGGGAATCAATGAAGATTTAAACCTCTTTAGCTCCCAAGTGTTTGGCCAAATGTAGCCATGCGAGGAAGGCTTCGTACTCTGCCTGGTTATTCGTGGTTGGGAAAGATAGGGCGAGGGAGACTTTAATCAGGACCCCCTCCTCATTTTTTAGTATGATGCCTGCTCCGCTTCTTGTCGAGCTGAATGCTCTGTCCACGAAGTTGTTTCACTTATGGGTCGGGGAGGCCGACGTGGCCATTTCTGCCACAAAGTCGGCCAATACTTGAGATTTAAGGACCTTTCTTCTCTCGTACCGGATGTCAAATTCAGAGATTTCCAGTGACCATTTGAGCATTCTGTCGGGATGACTGTTGCACCCCAAAATTTGACCAACAATTATTCATCCATCAAGTGTTTGAAGGTTGATACCTTCACCAGAAAATTCAAGAGATCCTCAGAGGAATTGGTTGAAACCAGGGTTGTGTGCTTCATAGCTTGAGAGTTGTGGGTGCTCCTCAGATGATTCTGAGACCTTGAGAATGAATTTGATGCCTTGAGCAAGTATATGAGATGTCTTGATAGCCATCATGAAGCCCAGAGAAGTCATTGTGCAAGAATTCAGGAGATTCAACCTTGAATGGTAGAATTAGGGTTTTGACTGGGTCAACCCTGAGATAACTGAAAATTTGGAGAAGGTTGAGACCTAATCCAAGGGCCATGAGATCATGGAATGATGTATGGAGATGTTGTAAAGATGATTACTAAACCAACTCATCATGATTGAAGAGTTTGAGAAGTTTCAAGTTAGGGTTTCTGAGGATTGTCAGTGAAAAAACCCTAGTTGGATCCCTATCTTCCAGGCAGTTTTAGCTCAAGATGTGATTGATATCTCATCCTCCCCACAACATGAATGTTGTAGAGCTTGTTCTTAGATTTAATTTGAGTGGTGGAAGTCCTTGATAGGAGTTGCAGAGCTCAAGTTATGGTTTTGACAAATTACAGGTCAGCTGAGGTGTGTGAATCTGGGTCCTTGAAAGTCACCCAACTTGCAGACAATTTTTGCCCTAGTAGGATGATTCCTATGATCTCTTGGTCAACATGAATGTTGAAGAGCATCTTCTTAGCTTTCTAGAGAGTACTATAAGTCCTTGATAGGATTTGTAGAACTCAACTTATGATTTGAACAAGACAGGGGTATTTTGGTCATTTGGCAGTTATAGGTCATTTTAAGCAAAGGCCATATCTCCTATTTCCAAGCCTCAAATGAAAAAAACTCAAAACATGAAAGTTGTTCAAAATGGGATTTTAAGTCTAGAAAATAGGTCATGAGTTATTGAAAAAGCTTGTAGCAAGGATTTACAAGATTGGGTAAAAATGACCTAAAAATGGCTTATAAGTTAATTCAAGTCAAGTTGAAATTTGGTTTGGGAGATCTATGAGTCCAAAATAGGTCATCCAATATACCATTTTAAATGTAAATGACATTCTAAGAACTTTGGTTTAAACAGAATTTTGATTTGAAGCTCAAAAATGAAGGTTACTTTGGAAAATTGTTACTTGAATCATAAGGCAACTTGACAAAGCTTCACCAAAGGCAAGGAAGTGCATGTTTTTCACTCATTCTTTCTCAATATCTCTTGTAAGGAGATTTTAAAGTCAATTTGACAAGCTTAAGGCATGAGATAATGGATATCCAATGTATCACTTCAAGAGAAGTTCTAGAACTTTCCAAGTGATTCCACAAGTTTCTAGATGGATCTAGATTATTCTTTTGATTGTTATAAGAAGGGTGAATCACAATTTGGCCAGGGTTGGTGATAATTGTTGGTGAGTGGTGAGATTAGAGTGTGAAAAAGTGAGATTCTTCCATTTGCATTTTCATAACAAACCTTCATTCTCTGCCATTTCCATTCTTTTCTTCTCCACAAACGTATTCTTCTGGTCCTTGTGATTACTTGCATGCTGAGATAGAGGAAGATCCATGGAAGTTTGAAGCTGTTTTAAAGAATTTGCAAGAAAAGCATATTGAGATCAAACACAAGATTCAAGCAGTGTTCATCCATCTTTTTGCATACAGAATTCATATCTGCCATTAAGGATCAATCAGGGAAGCTTGCAGGCATTGAATTGGAGTGAAACCACATCCACCATTGCAACTTGACAGGTTGGTGATTTTAATCGTATCACCTTATTTATATGCATTTCACCATAATTCTAGGTTTATACTGGTTAGGTTAAGGTAGAGGATTGTATTCTGAGAATTTGAGGAAGTTTTATGAAGTTCCATGGCAGACCATAGTTTCTTTCACTTTCAAGAATGGATCGTGTGTTGAGCATTAATTGATGTGTTATGGTTTAGATTGATGATGGTAACCTAAGGAATAGATTTAGATCATTGGATTTGAGTTTGGTTAAGTTTGATAGCAGAGGACCATGGTGGAACCCTAACACTCGTGCATTCTGTTAGGACAATACAAGAGGTTTCAGGGAATACTATTGGTATCATTGTGTTCTGGGTGATTAGTAGGGCAAGTTTGCTTTTGAAAGTTCGTGAATTCATTGGGTAATGGAGGAGAACGAAGGAGTTGAAATCCTTGCATGGAGTTAGGGTTTCTGCAAACCCTAGGGTTCATTTGGGGACGATGAAGTCCCACCGTTGGATTGTCCCTAATGCTTGACTAATTCAGTTGATCCAGCGGCCACGATTCAAACTGGTAAGTGGAGGGAGTCTGAAACGTACAAAACGCAGCGTTCTACTAATCCAAACGCACCGTTTTGATTAATTGTTAGAACTGGGCTTCAGCAAATTGTTTCTATCCCCACCCCCCTGATTTGGCCCATCATGAAAACAACTGAGGCGTGTTACTTTTGATACCCCCTCCCCTTTATTTCATTTTCCTTTTATTTTCTCATTTTAATATTTTCTTGCATATTCAAAAATTCATAGAAAATAGAAAAATCAATATTTTTCATTTCTTCTTTTTTTCACATGTTCATGATTTTGTCTAGAAAAATGTAAAAAAATAAAATTCCATTTTATTTTTCTTTTAATATTTTTTAGCATATTATTCTTGTAAATGGTATTTTTAATGGTTTTAGTTGACACTTGATTTTGTACAATTTGTTTTAGGACTTTCCCTTAGAATTTTTGAGCCATTCTTTTTGGCATAGTTAGGTATTGAACCCTAGTTCATGTAGGATTTAATTCTCAATTTGTAGATTAAAATTTGATGTAGTTTGATTGTTTGACATTTAGGTTCTCAAATTAGGGTTTTAGGTTGTATAAGTAGACTTGAAGCATTTTGTTTTGGGGTTTATAGGCCAAATTAGTGTATGGGGAATATATGGGTTAAGGGTAAGTATGTATAGAATCCCCTAGAATTTTGCTAGAATATTGTATGGTGTTTTAGTATTTTTAATTGATTTTTGAATGTATGGCTAGCATGTGTGTTGCTTAAAGGCATAATTTGTATTGTTGTGCTTGTTTTTCTTCTCCTGTGAGTGTGTGAGCCTTGAAGATTGAGTTGAAGACCTTGTGGATCATCATTGAAGCTTTAAAGACCTTGCAGAGGAGTTTAGTATAACTTTTGTTTGTTTTGTTTATAGGTTTATAGGTGCATAGGCAGAGCCCTAGATAGGATACTTCCATTCAATAAACAAGGAGTGTTTTGTTCACCTCCTTCCTTCTCTGTGACATAAAGTCCCTTAAGGG